TGAAATCCTTTTACAAAATCTTTCTATGCAGAAACATAGTGAAAGATATTTTAGACAGTCCAGCAAATAACTCCTAATTTGAGCTAGGAATAATTCCTGAAAGAATGACTTTTATTTTCTAAAAAAAGGTTAAGATACATAAGAGAAGGCAATCAATACAATGGCCTCTGAAAACATTCTTAAAAGTGTAATGAAGAAGAGAAGTCCTAATCTCTGTGGGTCAGCTTATATTTTGTGTTCTAGATTTTTTTTCCCCCCAAGTGGCATAAGGTACAGAGACTGCTTTTAATTTGCTGGAAGAACTGTAATGACTGAGCAAAATGTTCTGTTGGCATAAAACTAGCAACTGCTCCAGTTTACAGAGCTTCCTCCTATTCTTGTCCATCTTGAAGGAAAACATTACAAGAATGCCACTGAGATCTTACCACTGACTTAAAAGCAGAATGAGATCCTTGGAGTGTAGGCAGAATTTTATTCCATTTACTTATTAAAAAAAAATAAAATGTTTAAGCAAGAATTTAATCTGTTTCTTATTTCACTCTATTATGAAGTCATAAAACCGTATTTGTGACAGTAAAATAACAGCTGTACTCTGCAGGAAAGAGTCTTTATGAAACACGAATATCTCCCTAAGAAGCAAATGCAACATAATTTCAGTTAAATAAACACTTTGTGGTATAAACACACATTTATCTCCAAGTACAACCCAGTGTAAAAGTCTGTCTTGGAAGAGCAGCCTATCCTCTTGCTGATTTTTCTAAGAATGCTCTGAGCTCTGAGGTATAGTAAGTATCCGAGGTCATGATAGTTACACAGCGTTTATTTTGCCAAGTTTTTTAAATCTGAAATGTCATCCTGTTTGCAGCTTCGGTTTTATGAGTGTATGGTTCTTGTCACATTCCTTTTGAATGAATGTAATAAAGTACATGATTGCATGTATATTTTAAAAACAATGTAATTTATTGGTGCTATATTACATTCAATTTTTAAACAACCTCCCCCAAAATATGTGATGCCTGATGTTCACATAGTTTATTGTTCCAGAAACTGTGTTAGTGCTTTGATGCCAACCACTCTCCCATCAGCCTGATAGAATTGGTTAATCAAACACAATCCATCTTTCACCAATTTCAGTTAGAACAAAATTCTGGCTAACAGCAAAGACAACTTACAGAAGCCACATAATGTTGCTTCTGGCAGCAGAAGTCTTCATTACTCAGAGCAGGCAGGTAGCACACAGCACACAGACCCACACAGCAGATTTTCTAATGCTTTACTTTGCCTTTGAAAATATTCTTTGCACAAGGCTGCAGAACTTTGATTAGTCAATCTGATTATCTATATTATTTTTACTCAGTTTTACAGAAGATACTTCAAGAGTTCAGACATTTTTCTCAAGTTCTTAATCCCTCTCTCAAAGTGTCATTAAATCCCTTGAAATTATCAGATAATGAGTAACAATGAGATTCATCACAAATTGATCATATGATGTATATGATGTATCTGCCTCACAAATGCAATCAGAGCTTCTTTAAGAGTAGATCCTTTGTGCAATCTTCAAATTTATGTGCAATTTTTATTAGTAAAACTAGTTAATATTGCACTATTAAAAGTACATCCTGCAACATTCTATTAATGTGCTACTGAGATATCAGGGAAGCTGGCTAGACGTCCTGAATGAGGTAGAATTTTTTTTAGTAAGAATAGGATGGTTGTTAATTATTGAGCCTATAATTTGTGAGATGTTACTGCATCCAGTTAGCTCTTCTGATGATGGACAGGTGTGAGACTTGTGGAAACTGGGCCTCCATCACTTAAATCTTACCCCCAAAAGCTAGATATTGTTGCGTATAAAATTTACCGTAATGTATTTATCTTTCTTTACAACACAAATTTTAAGAATGTCCTCTAGCTGAGTGCCACAGTTGCATAATTCCATCAACTGTTATCTCTACTTGTTTACTATTACGATTTACTATTATTTACTATTAGAAAATAATTCTAGAACCTCCTTTTTATTTTTTTATTTACTTGGATTTTGCCACAGATGAAAGCTGAAGTGGGAAGAAATTCAGCTACAGCATATTTTAGAAGTCAAATAATTACCTTTAGCTTAGTCCCAAGGGCTGCCTTTATGGCATTTCCCAAAAGCTAGGTGCTGTCTAATATTTCAGGCTGAAACGCAGACTGAAGTCCAGAAGCAAGAAAAACAAAAAAAATAGGTAACTTGTCACCTTACTGAGAACACTGGTGAAAAGAACTAGCAAGAAGTATTGCCTAGTAAATTAAAATGAAAATATTTAACATTCAAGTGAGCATTTATCTCATCTCTGCTCTAGGGTTTGGTGTTTGGGCACACCATCAATTATGAACAAGACTAACTACTTTTGGAGCAGGTTCACTATTTTTGAGAGAAAAAAAGTGTGTTCATTTGATTATATGCTTGGAGTACTAGATGATACGAGTGGCATAGGATTTCATCTAAAGCTTATCTATGTATATTTTTTTTTGATATAAGATCTTCTTAAAACTATGCAACAGATTACTCTTATACCAGCCGGGATAAAATTGTTAAAATCAACTTATGACACAGCAAAAGCATTTGTAGATTATATTAAGTAAAACACAGGCTTCCTTAAATAAGAGAACGGTTTCCCTGATAAATGATTTTGAAATGTTTGAAATAATTTATTAAATAACTTATTTGATTAGCTTGTTTTGGAAACTATATATTTGCATGACGTTCACTGTCCAGAATAGAGTTCTTAGTTTTTTTGGTTGGTTGGGTTTTTTTGCTTAGAATTATTCTTTAGGGGTGGAGAAATTCATTTCACATATTCATTTACTGAGTAGCCCTTATGGAAGCTTTACCACTTTTTTTTCCACTTTTACACTGAGCATGTTATGGGGGGGGAGGGAGGGGAAAAGTGTACTTTATCTCAGATTACACTCAGATTCCTTAAATCTTAGACCTTCTAACACACTATGCCATGAGTAAGGAGTCTAACAAAAGCGACTAAGCCCCACTGGTGTGAGAAGTAGCACTGCAGAACACTGCAGTGGAAATTAAGAGATCTGACATGAACTGTCCCTCCTTTGAAATTGGTGGGTTTGCTATTGAATTCAGGAATTCAGCAGAACCTGAATTTCTGAAGACTGAGTGCCAGGCTCTGCCAGTGACCTGGTTTGTGTCATATGACAGGTTCTGCCACACTATCCCTTTGTAGAATACTTTCAAGTTACAAGGATGAATAAAAAGGAAACTTTAACAGAATTAACTACTTTTTCAGCTGCCCTAATTTATGCCTTTCTATCAACCTATACTGTTTCAGCAAATGCTATAAGCATTAGCTCTCTTCTCAGTATTAATTATCGACATTGTCTACCTGGTATATAGACATTACCAAAATTGTCTATTTGGTATATTTGTCTAGAGATATTTATAACCCACTTATTCAGTTATTTAGGAAGAAAAAGAAGAACAGTCCTGGTTATTGAGTTTTGGTGCTCTGAAACTCGTACTATCAACTGGAAAAAAATGTTCAGTGCTTTCTATTTTAAAATGGCTCAGGAAGTGGAAAGATGGTAAAGGTTCATCTCTGTTTCCCCTGTTAGTTTCAAATTTGACACACTCTGAAAAAGCAAGTCATCACCCAGTTCTGAGTAAAAACGTGAGCAAAGCACAAGTTACTCCGAATCTAAATCTCTGTTGAAAGAGGATGTCCCACTGCTTTGACTTTTTGATGATTTGAAGGGCTGAGATGGGTTTGTAAAAAAAGCAGTCCAACCCAGCCAGATCTGTTGATAATAAAAGAATTGTTGTCATCAGTCTCTGCAAGAGAATATAGCTTTCCAAGAAAAGGAAAAACCTGCAGGCTCCAGTTTGTTTAAAACAAATTACAAGACAGCTGCCAGCCCTGAAGATACAGCAAAAGGCTGAAGGAGCTGGGCCTGTTCAGCCTGGAGGAGAGAAGGCTGAGAGGGGATCTGATCAGTGTCTGTAAGTACCTCAAGGGAGGCAGTGAGGAGGATGGCGCTGGCCTCTTTTCACTGGTGGCCACCAACAGAACTAGAGGAAACTGCCGGAAACTGAAGCATCAAGAGTTCCACAGGAACTTAAGGAAAAATTTCTTAACAGTGAGGGTGACAGAGCACTGGAACAGGCTGCCCAAAGAGGTTGTGGAGTCTCCTTCTCTGGAGATCTTCCAAACCCGCTTGGATGCAGTCCTGTGCCACGTGCTCTAGGTGACCCTGCGTGTGCAGGGGGTTGGACTACATGATCTCTAGAGGTCCCTTCCAACCTTAAGCATTCCATGATTCTATGAAACTGTAGGAACAGCTGAAGTGGCCTGATTAAATTCCACCTTGAACAAACACGCTCCACCAGGCCATGTTCACATGGCACTGTATTTCATTACTTTTCGTTACTGAAAGTTTGCAGAGCAGCAATACTAACAGCAGATTCTACCTCTGGGCACTGCTGTACAGAAACACATTTGATCTTCTGCTTGTAAATATAGGCAGCGCATAGCCCAGGCGTTCGTTACCCCTCATACCAAACTGGATTTCGCTCTCCTGAGGAGCAAAGTGAGTGTTAAGGCCGTCCTGAGGCCAAACTCCACTGCCGAGACGCCTGCGAATAACGGAGCGCCGCAAAATCCCCCCGCCAACGGCCATAACGGCCGCGACCGCAGCCGCCTTCCGCCCG